ATAGCGATAAATAAATGATGAAATAACGAACAAATAAAAATTAACTGAATGACAATTTGTATGATAGAAATAATATTTTCATATTTCATATGGTATATTTGTTTGAAATGAAATAAAAAAAAAGAATAAAACATAATTTTAATTAATATATTCAAAATAAATAATACAAAATGTGTGAAAATGATTATAATTATAATTCATTATTTCATTGTCGTATATTTCAATTTATAGAAAATATAAACAACAAAACCATTAAAATAAAATCAAATTATCGTTTTGATTAATATTCTTCATATCCTTCATTATAATTTAGTACTTTCTCTATTTCATATATTTTGTAATTAGTTTTAAGTTCAAAACTAGTTCCTGCATTAACAACATATCTATTATCTTCGGTAACAATAATTCCTAAATATTCATTAATATCAATCTCATCAAATAACCATTCTCTTTGCAATTCTATTTTAAGTTTGAGTAAGTTGATAAAATCATTTGATAATTCTTGAACTTTTTCCAATACACTTAATCGTTCTTTAATTGATTCAATTTTACATGTTGATGATTGTGCATCAACAAAATTATTAAATGACGAATGTAATTTATCTAATTGTTCTGGAGTAAGGTTGATAGCTTTTAATGCTCTTCCAAGTGGTGTATTATTTTGACAATTTGTCTGAGAAGTACCATTACCTCCTTGTTGTGGGAATGTTATTTTATTTTGTGTACACATATAATCTATTATATCTTCTATTTTAAATTGCTTTATTAATGAATAAATATCAGGAAATAAAAAAGCAATATCTGATATATCTTCTACTTTCTGAATTACTACTTTTCCAACTTCAGTTGCTGCATCTCCCAATAACTTTTTTCTTTTATTTTCTAATTCACTTATTTCTTTTTTCATTTTATCTATTAAATCTTGATTGTTATCAAGTTTTAAACTCTGTGCTGTTTCTATAATATTTTCTAATGTTAATTCACTGAATGAATATTTGTTTGTAAGAATCTGGAATAGTGCATTTAACCTTTTATCAATCTTTTTATAAAATTCTCTCACACTTGAACTTTCAATAAATATTTTTTTACATTCTCTATGATTAACAAGAATTTTGCATCGCTTCATTGTAATGCCAAGAAGAATTTCTGTATTTGTTAAATACAAGTGTTTGTATTTAATTGCAAGCTGGTTCAATCTACTTCTAAGGATTGTCATTGTTTTTAATTCTTCATATGATTTGTCGTTTAATAATTCTTCTTGTCTTGTAAGATAATAATTCACTCTATTAATTACAAAACAAAATTGTAATCTTCTCCATTCATCTAATGTAGGTTGAATATTATTTTCACACCTATACAAAAATCTTTTTAAATCATTAAATTTTTCATCTATATTTTTGTAAGATGACATTATTTCAAATAATTTTGATTCTAATTTTTGATATGATTTATCGTCACAGCTTGTTATATATTCACTCTTCCCATTGAAATTCTTTTCAATACATATTGCACATATTTTACCTGATCGTATTTCACTTCCATATTTTTCAATTAACTCTTTTGTTTTATAAACATGATATGCTAGTCTATGGATTCTATCGTTATCTTCTTGTACTTCTGAATACAACATTCTTGAAACCGCATAGTAGCAACCTCTGCCTGCCTCGTATTGTCCATAAATTGGAATAAAACCACGAACCAATCCTTTTAAAAATCCTGTTACTACGTTATCTGTTTCTCCTTTTTCTGCAATCTGTTTAACACTGTTTTTAATACTATCAGGCATAGAAAACCTATTGTTTGAAATTTCAATTTCTAACCAACGATTTAAAACTGTATTTATTTCCCTTAAACGGTTATTGAAAAAAACAAGATATTCTTTACCGTCAATTTGAAAATGTACATCAGGTTCAACAACAACTTCATTTTCTTTTTCTGGTGCGTTTTGAAGTTTTACTCCTATTTTTTGAAATTGAACCAAGTTTTGTGGATAATTTTCTTGAAGATAAGCTATTTCTGCATTTCTTTTCAATTTTTCTGTATTAGAGTGTTTTGTAAACATTTGTTCTGAATTATCAAGTTTATCATTTTCTTTTTA